GATACTGATTAGTGTGGGGATACTGAATTGTGTCCACAGACCTCAAAATTATTCTGTAACTCTGGAAATGATCGAGGGGTACAGTTTTGTGTCCACAGGTGTTTTTTTTTCATTTTTTCTGTTTTTTAGTTTTTAATTGTTTTTTATTTTATTTTAAAATATTTTTTTATTTTTAATAATAATAATTTTTAATTTAATTATTTATTATTTTATTTTAAATTATTTTTTATTTTTAATAATAACAATTTTTAATTTAATTATTTTTATTTTATTTTAAATTATTTTTTATTTTTATTTTTAAATATAATAATTTTTAATTTAATTATTTTGTAAAATTGTGTCATTGTGTCGGGATACACAATTGTGTCTTGGTCTTTTTTTGTTGTTCAAACATTTTTCATTTTTTTTCATTTTTTAAAGCTTTTTCCTTTTACTTTTATTTTCCATCATTGAAATTTTCCAGATGCCTTCCACAGAAAATTACATCCAGGTACAAAATAGTGTGGTTTGTTTGGAGGGTACACTATTGTGTCCTGCTGCTTCCTGAGGTCATGATTTTTTGATTTTTTGCAATCATTTCCTCTACCTTTTCCTTTGCTAAAGTTTTTTCTTTTAATTACTTAATTACTTTCTTAGTTTCTTTCATTTGAAATTCTCAGAAATGCCCAGTTTCCCAAAATATATGATGCCTTATTAAAACTCAATCAAAAAACATCACTCAAACAATTTTTCAAGGGGGTAGTCCATGAGCAACCCTGATACACAATAGTGTGGTTTGTTTGGAGGGTACACTATTGTGTCCAGCTGCTTTCCTGAGGTCATGTTTTTTTTTTTCAATCATTTCCTTTACCTGTTCCTTTGCTAAAGTTTTTTCTTTTAATTACTTACTTTCTTAGTTTCTTTCATTTGAAATTCTCAGAAATGCCCAATTTCCCAAAATATATGATGCCTTATTAAAACCCAATTAAAGAAAACATCACGCAAACAATTTTTCAAGGGGGCAGTCCATGAGCAACCCTGATACATAATAGTGTGGTTTGTTTGGAGGGTACACTATTGTGTCCAGCTGCTTTCCTGAGGTCATGATTTTTTGATTTTTTCAAGCATTTCCTTTACCTGTTCCTTTGCTAAAGTTTTTTCTTTTAATTACTTACTTTCTTAGTTTCTTTCATTTGAAATTCTCAGAAATGCCCAATTTCCCAAAATATATGATGCCTTATTAAAACCCAATTAAAAAAACATCACGCAAACAATTTTTCAAGGGGGTAGTCCATGAGCAACCCTGATACATAATAGTGTGGTTTGTTTGGAGGGTACACTATTGTGTCCAGCTGCTTTCCTGAGGTCATGATTTTTTGATTTTTTCAATCATTTCCTTTACCTTTTCCTTTGCTAAAGTTTTTTTCTTTTAATTACTTAATTACTTTCTTAGTTTCTTTCATTTGAAATTCTCAGAAACGCCCAGTTTCCCAAAATATATGATGCCTTATTAAAACCCAATTAAAAAACATCACTCAAACAATTTTTCAAGGGGGTAGTTCATGAGCAACCCTGATACACAATAGTGTGGTTTGTTTGAGGGTACACTATTGTGTCCTGCTGCTTCCTGGGGTCATGATTTTTTTGATTTTTTCAATCATTTCCTTTACCTTTTCCTTTGCTAAAGGATTTTTCTTTTAATTACTTAATTACTTTCTTAGTTTCTTTCATTTGAAGTTCTCAGAAATGCCCAGTTTCCCAAAATATATGACACCTTATTAAAACCCAATTAAAAACATCACTCAAACAATTTTTCAAGGGGGTAGTCCATGAGCAACCCTGATACACAATAGTGTGGTTTGTTTGAGGGTACACTATTGTGTCCTGCTGCTTCCTGAGGTCATGATTTTTTGTTTTTTTCAATCATTTCCTTTACCTTTTCCTTTGCTAAAGTTTTTTTCTTTTAATTACTTAATTATTTTCTTAGTTTCTTTCATTTGAAATTCTCAGAAATGCCCAGTTTCCCAAAATATATGACACCTTATTAAAACCCAATTAAAAAACATCACTCAAACAATTTTTCAAGGGGGTAGTCCATGAGCAACCCTGATACACAATAGTGTGGTTTGTTTGGAAGGTACACTATTGTGTCCAGCTGTGGTTTGTTTGGAGGGTACACTATTGTGTCGAGCTGCTTTCCTGAGGTCATGATTTTTTGATTTTGTTCAATCATTTCCTTTACCTTTTCCTTTGCTAGCTAAAGTGTTTTCCTTTCAATCAATTTCTTTCTTAGTTTCTTTCATTTGAAATTCTCAGAAATGACCAGTTTCCCAAAATATATGATGCCTTATTAAAACCCAATTAAAAAACATCACTCAAACAATTTTTCAAGGGGGTAGTCCATGAGCAACCCTGATACAGAATAGTGTGGTTTGTTTGGGGGTACACTATTGTGTCCAGCTGCTTTCCTGAGGTCATGATTTTTTGATTTTTTCAATCATTTCCTTTACCTTTTCCTTTGCTAAAGTGTTTTCCTTTCAATTAATTTCTTTCTTAGTTTCTTTCATTTGAAATTCTCAGAAATTACCAGTTTCCCAAAATATATGATGCCTTATTAAAACCCAATTAAAAAACATCACCCAAACAATTTTTCAAGGGGGTAGTCCATGAGCAACCCTGATACACAATAGTGTGGTTTGTTTGGAGGGTACACTATTGTGTCCAGCTGCTTCCTGAGGTGATTTTGTTTTTTTTCAATCATTTCCTTTACCTGTTCCTTTGCTAAAGTTTTTTTCTTTTAATTGCTTAGTTACCTTACCTGCTGTTAAGAGGATCAAATAGTCATTTGTATTTTCTCCAATTATCATATGTCGCTCTTCATGTCGAATGTAAACCAAGTGTACAAAACACTCAGTTCCTTAGTCCACAGTTAGGAAACCTTTCTCATAATAACACAATCAAACTAGTTCGGTTCCAAAATGCATTGTTAATTCCCATTGTTTTGACCCAATTTGATAAAATGTGGTTCAATGACGGGATCATCCCATCCCCCAAGTTTGATTTTTGTTGTCCTAATCATGTAATAGATTTAATAAGATAAATGATGGCATAAACACAATGACTGGCCAAAATGGCCGGAGAATTGCTGAGCCAGAGCGGGTTAGCATAAATGATGGGTATGGTACATCTTTCCCAGCATGGGACCCACCTCTAACCAAAGTATGTCAACCATCAATGGGGAACACTGAAAACAATATCAACATCCAAAAACCAAATGTGTTGTTATTGTTATTGGCTGGGACCCCTTTTTAAACAAATACAGTGGGACATCAATTTGCTTAGTGTTATGGAAGACGCCAATGACAGGCACATCCAAATCTCACCAATATACCTTGACAAATTATTCGTACACTCAGTGACCATTGACAGTTCTCCCTTATGATTAAGATGGTTTTCAGTTTATGTTTCAAGAAAGGTTGGTGTTTGACTTTGGTGGAAACAAATCTACCAAGCATTGTTGCAAGAGTTTTGACGGTTGAAGAAAACATGATAATCATAACAAGATGAAAAGGTCTTGAACTATCAGACTCAGAATTTGCTATGTTCTTGGAGCTCATGAGTTGGATTCCTTCTAAAAAACAAACCAAAACCTGGAACTGTTTCCACACAGTTTAAGATGTAGCCCGAGTAAATGATAGTAAAGAACTCAGGAAACATTCGGCAATAATAATACTAATAATACACTATTGTTTTGGAGTTGCCTTTGATCTCATGCACTCAGAAACACTGGCGACTTATTTGTTTGACAGTCTTTTGCGGAAAAAAAAGATGGCGCACAACTTCAACTTTTAATTGTTTGAATAATTTTGAAATGACATATTTTCAAAAGTTTAAAAAAAAATAAAAAAGGAAGAAATAGACATTGAACGTGCTGTTAAGCAAATCACCTTGGCCAGGGGGGGGGCAAATGCCCCCCCCTCTGGCCAACATCGGGAGCGCTACCGATGTTGGCTAGCCGCCCCCTACATGTCTTAACAGCACTTCCAATTTTTCACATTGGGGGCTTATTAGCTCAAAAGTCCCGGTCCGTACTATGCAGGAGGGGGGCTAGCCAACATCGGGAGCGCTACCGATGTTGGCCAGAGGGGGGGGCACTTGCCCCCCCCCCTGGCCAAGGCGATTTGCTTAACAGCACGTGCTAAGAGTTTAATGTTATTTTTCTTTTTTTCATTATTTGAAAACAGTCGGGAGCGCTACCGAATGTTTTCGCCAAAAGCAAAATTTGTAATTATGATCTTAAAACAGTCGGGAGCGCTACCGAATGTTTTCGCCAAAAGCAAAATTTGTAATTATGATCTTAAAACAGTCGGGAGCGCTACCGAATGTTTTCGCCAAAAGCAATATTTTTAAAACGATGCATGGTCTTAAAACAGTCGGGAGCGCTACCGAATGTTTTCGCCAAAAGCAATTTTTGAAATTATGTATGGTCTTAAAACAGTCGGGAGCGCTACCGATTGTTTTCGCCACAAGCAATTTTTGAAAATATGTATGGTCTTAAAACAGTCGGGAGCGCTACCGAATGTTTTCGCCAAAAGCAATT